ATGGACATTGAAAGCGAGAGAAAAATTGAAAAAAATAGAGAGAATGAAATTTACTAGCTGGAAATAAATATATTTTTAAAGCATTGGCATGTGCCCGCATATTTTTTTGGAATATGGTAAAGGCTTCAATGAAGCTTTATGGCTTATAATGCCTTTATTTGTGGAGGGACTTTGGAAAGCTTTTAAATATGTTCGTAAAAATTCGATACGGGATCATACGGGTGGTCTTTTCTTATCGAGGATCTTAGACTACGTGAAGAAAAGAAAAAGATATATACTAATGAAAGATACTAGATTATACATGGGATTTTAGGGCTCTGCCTTAGATAGGGGGCCTTCCGGACCTATGACCTGTGACTAAAAAAGAAGAAAAAAAAGGCCTATCGGAAACCCAAGACTAAGGAAAGTACAAGCCCGGGATCGCCCACAATTCCCAAGAAATTGATTCCTTTCTGGCCTGCATTATTGTATTTGTATTCCGTTTGCTATGTATTTGTATTCCGTTTGCTTTAGAATAGGGGTGCTCCGGATAGACGACTCGTAACTAAAAAAATACATGTAGTCCCAGGCTTTTTTCCGAGCAAGCTCCAGAACGTAATCTTGTCTGTCTCAAAGAAGCAAAAAATTCTAAGCAAATTTTAATTACCAGTAGAGGGCATTCAATAGCTGTCTGAATAGAACAGCCTCAGGGCAAAGAATTTTAAAAAATGAAAGAAAAATAAAATGTGTAAGGAAGAGCTCTATGTTAAAAAATGGATTGGGCAATGTCCATGCACAGAATGGCCAAAGGATGATAATACTCTTGCCTAGAATAGATTGTGTCGGGTGGAAATACGGCTTTAAAATTAAAATAAATTTTAGAAAAAATATTTTTAGAGGTAAAATTAAAGATGAAATATAGCTCTTTTAGAAGAAAAATATTTTTAATTTTAAATTATCTGTTTAAAAAAGTTTAAATAAAATTCTCAAGTAAGCGAAAGCTTTTTTAAAATAAATTTTTTTCCTCCTCTCTTAAAGCCACAAATTATTGCCCAACTCGAATGGCACACGGACGGACGGAAAATCAGTTTAGTAGTTCCCACTGTCCACTCCCTTTTTATTTTAAAAGAAAAACTCTCTTAGCGTGGACATTGGCTAGTGGCAGCTGTCACTAAGGCCGACGTTGAAAGTTTGAGAAAGGAGGACGGTTGAGTAAATAACCTCTAACTTGTGATTGAATAAACCGATTGAGGAGATTTTGGTATCATTGGATAGAGAATTAAATTTTCTATAAAATGAAAGTTAACTTGGAATTTTACAGTTGGCCGAAGAAAAAAATAGTCATTTAATTGACATTTTCAGGCATTTTTTAGGGTTTTTTGACCATAACTTTTTTATTTCTTAACCTAAAATTTTGATTTTCTCCAATTTTATAGTCCATTTAATTCCCTATCAAAAAACATAAAAATCATTCAAATTGGTCCACCCATTCCAAAGATATAAATTAAAGACTGGAGTGTACTCTTGCTATGTCCCCCAACTTTTTGGACTTTTTGCTCCTTTTTTCAATTCTTTTTGCTTTATTTCCTCAATTTCTGTGAGTTCTCTTATTTTCTTTCTTTTTTGCATTCTTTTTCAAAGAATTACATGTCCAAACGTTTTTGTTGGATTTGGCACAAACTCAAAAATACCAACGGTCGGCGTCAGTTCGTGCCAGCCGCAACTATAAAAAGGACGATTAAAGTGCAAAAGAAAAGTGCAAGTTTTCGAAAAAATATTGGAGAAATGAGAGGGTGGACGGAAGCGTGTGACCAATGTCCACTCACTGCCACCCAGTTGTTACTATGTCCGTTATATAAAAACTATTGCCATAGCTGCCAGCCGTATATTTAAAGTAAAGGAATTGGAGAGTGGTGAATAGAAGGAAGGGAAGGATAAAAGAATTTAAGAACGGAAGAAGAGTTTGGAAGGTATAGATGAGAAAATGGTAGGATTGAGGAAGATCAGTGAGGAAGGTATTAAGTAATTTGTGGAGGTGGAAGGATGGAAGATGAGAAGGGTAGAGGGAAAGAAGAAAATGATAGAAGGGGTAATAAACGATGAAGCGGATCATGAAGAGGATTAAACGAAAAATGTGATGAATAAGTGAAGTTAGAAAGGAGGATAAAGTAACTGAAGAACTAGGAGAAGAAGAACAGGAACAGGAAGACTTGAAGAAGAAAAGTGTACGTTATTAAAACTGATGGACATATCAGTCAATGGACATTTTGTACATACTATCATTTAAAGAAATAAAAATTTATATTATTGTATAGGGTGGTAAACGAGAAAAAAAATTTTTTTTATAGGACAAAACGTTTAAACCAGCCGATAATGAAAAGGTGACCACCATCAACGACTGGAAGGACGCCAACATAAAAACGTTTTTGGTGACTATTAACGGGAGGAAATATATGTTAATATTGAAATGTTATATATTTTTATGTTTGTTTTAAACGGCCAAATAAAATGACCGATATAATCGAGAATAATAAAATACCTTTTAAGAAAAGTGCAAAATATTGAAAAATTATAAAAATAATAATTTTTTAAAATTTTAACAATACAGTTAGAATTAAGGTTGCCGGATCCTGGGAAATCTTTGGATATCCGGATCTTCGGACATTCGGTTTTTTTCGGATCAGGATATCTGGATCCGACAACTGTTGTTAGAATTAAAGGACCCCTTTAGTAAATGCAATTTTTAAATTTGGTTGGCTACTGGAAGGGGGTCCAGGTGATAATTCCATTTAGGAGCCCCAAGGATATTTCACAATAAGGTACATTTGGTTGAAATCATCTTGTTGAACTTTGTCTCAGCCTGCGCATTCTATGATAGGTCTATTCCATCTGCTATCCAATAATTTTCATAGCATGAACATGAGAATTTTATAAGAGATTGAATAACTAATAAAGTAATAAAAATGCTGAAATGTTTTTATTTTGTTTTGTGGCTTGCTGATCTTCCAGTTGCCATAAAAGATCTATCTGGCAATAAAGTCAAATATTAAGCTCATTTTAAATTCCCCTCCAAAGTACCTATATTGTTTTTATTTTTATTTGCTTTTATCTTCACGTTATTTCAAACAGAAAAATTTTTGTTCAGCTAAAGTATAAAAAAACATCAAAAATTAACGTAAACAAAAAAATATTTTTTTATTTACAAAATTCTGAAAATCAATTTATTAAATAAAAATTTTAAATTATTTTTTGTTTAAATTTTTTCGTCCTTCACTCCAACTATTTTTAATTTTGGCTGTGAATCATAAAAAGTTATTTTCGTTGTGCGCACACATTAACACTACCAACCTTTTATTTAAAAAAAAAGAATTTTCCAGCATTTTTACTTTATTTAAACATTTCCGATTTACTAAAAAATTCACAACTTCTTGAGTTTTTAATTTAAAAATTAAATTTTTTGAAATTTCATAAAGCGGAGTTTTCTCTATTTTTTGACATAAAATTTATATTTTTAGCTTTGTTTAATCAAAAGTTATTAAGATTAAAAGACAGTAAAGTCTATCTGTAATCAACGTCCATTTTTTGTTAAAGATGTACAAAATGGTCAGTAAGCCGATAGATCTAAAAAGCTCGTCGAGCTGAGCCGAACAAAATCAAAATTTGCCTATAAACCAGAATAAGCCCATAGAACTTTAAGCTGAGTTATAGAGATTCAAATAATCAAAAATTAAGGTTACAGGGGCTCAAAATGGTCAAACTTTTTTTTACCCTTTAAATATAATTTTTTATACCCTTTTAAACTTTTTTTACTATTTATTTTTACTAATAAAAATTATTATTTCTTACAAATTTTTAGTTTAAATTTAAAAAAAGTCATAAATAGTAACCCCCATGACTCTTCTAATATTTTTGTTGTTATTTTCTTTTTTTTCAAAATTATTCTCGAAAATTCTCAAATATTCTCTCGCCTTTTTTCAGCTGTTCTCTTATCTTTTTATTTTTTTCAACTGTTTAAAAATAGAGAGAAACTAAAGAAATTTTCTAGAAGTTTCCGGAAGGTTCCGGAAAGTTCTAGAAAAAGAAACAAAGTGAATATAAGCAAAGGGAGAGAGGGAGGCTGTCAGTAAACTAACAAACAAACAACTGAGTGAGTGAGAGATTATTTTTATTTGTATACTTTGTGCTTATTTAAATATATTTTTATTTTTTATTTTTTTTTTCTATAATTTTTCAATAATTTTTTTCTCGTTTAATTTTATCAAAAAAATTCACCTAATTTTCAGCTATACTTTTAAAAAAATCTTTTTTTCTCTCTATTCACAAAACACCCCAAAAATTATTTTATTATGGCTTCCTGCAAAGCTATAGGGATTGATTTAGGCACAACTTACAGTTGTGTTGGTGTTTATCAACACGGAAAGGCATGCCATTTTGCTTGTTATTTTAATAATTCATTAATTAAAGGTGGAGATTATCGCTAATGACCAGGGCAACAAGACAACTCCATCGGTTGTTGCGTTTACTGACACTGAACGTTTGATTGGGGATCCTGCAAAGGATCAGATGGGTGGGTAGTTTGAATATTTAATAGAGCTGTTCAAGCCAGGAAATTTTCCAAGGCCAAGAATCCACTCTAAGTCCAAGACCGAAACCCCCAAAAAATCTTAAGACTTTAGACAGCTCTTGGAGGTCTTGGGCGCCTTGGACTGAATTTATTAGAGCTGTTCAAGCCACGAGATCTTCCAAGACCAATACCTCAGTTCGAGGGCAAGACCGAAAAACCCCCCAAAAAATTCTTGAGACCTAGGACCTAAGTGAGGGGGTTAGAGAGACCTTAGAGACTTGGGCCTTGGATCTTTTAAGACCTTAAAGGCTTTGAATGGCTCTAGAATTTAATTTTGGAAAGATCACTTTTCAAAATAATCTTCCTCTGTTTTTCAGCTCGAAATCCTCAAAACACCATTTTCGATGCTAAACGTTTAATAGGCCGTAAATGGGATGATCCGACAGTTCAAAAGGACATGTTACACTGGCCGTTTAAATTGCTCAATAAAACTGGGCGTCCAACTATTGAAGTGAGAGAGAGATTTTTTATAAAACAATTTAATTTATAATTTTTCAGGTTGAATTCCAAGGAGAAAAGAAGACCTTTCTTCCTGAAGAAATTTCTTCAATGGTTCTTACAAAAATGTAAGCTTTACTTTTTTAAGTTTAACAAAAACTAAGAGACCGCAGAAGGATTTTTGAGGATTTAGTTGAGAGGGATTAAGAGAGACTGGGAATTTTCTTAGGCGCAAGTCTGTGGGGTTGAGAGATATATGGGGTTGGGGACTTAAAGTTTGGTAGCTTAAAAGGGTTATCGAGGGATCTGTCTCTCTATTTTTGAGAGACACACACAAGTTTATGAGACGCATGCCAAAAATAGAGCTCTTAAGTTTGTGCAATTCTTGACTAGTGTTTTTTAAACTTTATTTTTTCTCTCATTCTTAAAGGAAGCAAACGGCCGAAGCTTATCTTGGCCATCCTGTTCGAGATGCCGTTGTCACTGTTCCAGCTTATTTTAACGACGGACAGCGTCAAGCAACTAAAGATGCTGGTCAGATTGCCGGACTCAACGTATTGCGAATTATAAATGAACCGACGGCGGCTGCTTTGGCTTACGGATTGGATAAGAAAATGAGGGGGGATCAGGTGGGGAATTTTCTGGAAAATTTTCGAAAAAAATTTCAAAAATTTTCTCCGCTTCAGAATATTCTCATTTTCGACCTTGGCGGTGGTACTTTCGACGTTTCCGTGTTGTCGATTGCTGAAGGTTCCTTGTTTGAAGTTAAATCAACCGCTGGCGATACACACTTGGGAGGGGAGGATTTTGATAATTTGCTTGTTGAGCACTTTAAACAAGTACTTAAAAATTTTCCTTAACTTGAAAAAACTTTTTCCCTTTCAGGAATTCAAGCGTAAACAAGGTCGTGACATTAGTAACAACCCCCGTGCTCTTCGCCGTTTGAGAACGGCAGCGGAACGTGCTAAGCGCACTTTGAGTAGTTCAACTGAGGCTACTGTATATTCAAAAATTTTTAAAAATTTCTGAAAAAATTTTTCTTTCAGTTGGAAGTCGACTCTCTTTTTGAAGGAATTGATTTCCACACTAAAATTAGCCGAGCTCGTTTTGAGGAGCTTTGCACTCCGTTGTTTAAGAAGACATTGGAGCCTGTTGAACAAGCTTTGAGGTAATTAAGGGTACCTAAAAATGCCTCTAATTCAAAAATTTCAGAGATGCCCGCCTTGACAAGAGCAAAATTGACGAGATTGTAATGGTTGGGGGTTCAACACGTATTCCCAAAGTTCAGAAATTGTTGCGGGAATTCTTCCACGATAGAGAGTTGAATCTCTCTATTAACCCTGATGAGGCAGTTGCTTATGGGGCTGCGGTACAAGCGGCTATTTTGTCTGGGGTTCGGGATGAAACAACAAAGGATGTTCTTCTCGTTGACGTTACTCCACTTTCTTTGGGAATAGAAACGGCTGGGGGTGTGATGACCAAACTTGTTGAACGCAACGCTACAATTCCTCACAAAACCTCACAAACATTTACTACTTATGCTGATAATCAGCCGGCTGTTACTATTCAAGTTTATGAAGGAGAAAGAGCTTTGACTAAGGTGGATAAATTGGAGATTAATAGTCGGATCTTACTATGTAGGATACCTCCAAAAGATGGATAAACCTAATTTTAAGATGGTATTAAAATTATGTTGGCAATGGCAGGGGGCGCCCCTCTCTCTCGTTCTGATACACCTCCCGTTTTATATACTGATAGCCTCATCATCCCCCCCCCTCTCCCGTTTGAGATACACCCCCTATTTCAACCCCAAGGATATCCACAAAATAAATAAACCTCTAAGATATGTTTTTAAAACTTAGCTGGTACTAGGTGGGGGAGCTGGCTAAGCGAAAATACCCTTAATGTAAGCTACACCTCATTATTTTTCAGCTCCAAGGGTATATTTTAGAGTAAGGTCAACCAAAAAGTTTTTTTATCTATTTAATACAAAAATTCCCAATTTTTAAGGACAACAACCTTTTGGGACGTTTCGATCTTTACGGCATCCCTCCAGCCCCTCGAGGCGTTCCCCAAATTGAAGTTACTTTTGATTTGGATGTTAACGGGATTTTGCATGTTTCTGCATTGGACAAATCAACAGGGAAATCTAATCGAATCCAAATTAAAAATGAAAAGGGGCGGCTTAGCCAATCAGAAATTCAACGAATGCTTGACGAGGCAAAGCGTTTTGAGGCTGAAGATGCGAAACAACGGGAAAGGGTTGATTCTCGCAATAAATTGGAGCAATATTTGTATCAGGTAGCTCGTCCTGTGAATCTCTTCCTTCAAAAAAAATTATTTAGGTCAAAAATAGTTTGGAGGATTATGGAGACAAACTTCCCCAGGCTGATCGTGATCAAGCCAAGGAAGTTGTTGATAAGACTTTGCGTTGGTTGGATTCTAATCAGACGGCGGAAAAGGACGAATATGACGATCAGTTGAAAGAATCACAACGAGTTTTGTCCAAAATTATGGCCAAGCTTCATCAAGGAGGGGGTAAATCAGAAATTTAAATTAAATAGTAGAGGGGTCCAAGAAGGGAAATTTTTCCGAAATAAGACCCGGACCAAGACTTTGGCCTCAAGACTTGACTAGAAAATTCCTCTTGGACCTCTCAACTAAGCAATAAAAGTCAGAAATTCACCTCAAAAAATTTAAGGTGGTGGAGCTCCTCAAGGAGGCGGAGGTGCAAATTATGGCAACTATGCAAATGCTGGGGGTCCTAAAGTTGAGGAAGTTGATTGAATTTTTTGAGAATTATTTAAACATTTTTGCCGTTATTTTTTTGTCTCAAGGCAATGAATAAATTTCAAAAAATTAAAGAAAATTCGGTAACTAGTTAGTATTCATTGCCTTATAATTTATGATTTGCATTATACAATTTTAATCCAAATTGGATGCTTTTATCACTTGATTGTATTATTCATTTTCAGTATTATATAAAAAAATTTGAAGAATTTTTTAGATTTTTTTGGACTTCTTTTTAAAATAAATTATGAAAATATCTAAATTTTACCTGAATATAAGAGATTAAAAATTCATAATAATATTTAAAATAATCCTAAAATCACCAAAATTTGTAAGAATATTCACGGACATGTCCCTTATTTATTTCTAAAATTTGGTAATTTTCGGATAAGTTTAAAAATAGTTATGGATAAGATTAGGTGCCAATATACGCTAAGTCTTTATTTTTCCCAGAAATAATTTTTTCCGAAAGAAAGTCAAATAAAATTAATTTTTTTCGAATTTTTTGATAAAAAATAATTAATTACTCGTCTAAAAATCAATTTAACATTTTCCTTTATTTATTTTGCAATTTTTTATAAAAACAAAAATTTTTGACCCCGATGTGATTCGAACACACAACCTTCTGATCTGGAGTCAGACGCGCTACCGTTGCGCCACGGAGTCCACATACGGCCTGCTTTCATTATTCCTTTTGTCCTTTCAATTTAAATGTTTTTCTATGCTTGTCTTTCCTTTAAATAATTTTTTAACGTTCTCTCTTTATGTCTGGCCTGTTATTAAGTAATTATTTAATAGTTTATTAAATAAAAATTATTTTTTAAATTTATTTTTAACTTGTTTTCACAATTCTTTAATTTATTTTTTTCCCTGTTCCACAAAAAAACACATAAAATTTGCTAAATATGCGCTAATCTTTTGATTACCTAATGTTTTGTTGTTGTTGTTATTTTTATAGTAGACAGCCGCTTTTAATGAGCGCATAACTTTATTGGACCTGTTTTTAATGTTACAATTGTCACTTTTTAGTTTTTCTATTTTTTTGTTTATTTTAAGCAAAAAATATGTCTAAATATGCCTAAAATATGGCTAAATTTCTCCTTAAAAATTCATAAATTTTCTAAACAATTTATTCAAAATTTTATTTTTCAATTTTTTTGTAGTATAGAATCTCCTCTTTCTTTTGCTTTTTATTTTAGATTTTTATCTTTATTTATTCAAAAGTTATAGAATTTCTAGTTACCCATATTACATGTTTTTCTGCCTACGAGCTTTTTGGCCGCGTGCAGAGTAAGTGAAATTAGAAAAGTTGCAAAATTAAAATAAATGTGTTTTTTTGTATTTTTATTTTTTTCTATTGTGTTTTCAAGTTTATTTTAATAGAAAAAGAAATACAAAAAAAGTTTTATTATTCTCTAAAAAATATTTTTTCCCCTCCTCCCTTCCCCCAGAATTTTAATTATTATTCATTTATGTACATACCTATTATGCATATTTTACGCAACAAAACGGTAAAATAAAAATCAGTTGATACTAAATAAATATAAAAAAATGCTTAATTTAATGTTTTATTATTAATAAAAAAAGTTTTTCTTTTATTTTATTGTCAAAACAAATTTATTAAGATACCCCCTATACAATCAAGTTTACCCACATGTTTGTTCACTTAACAAAAATATTTTTTAAATATTTTTTCTATTTTCCCCCAAAATATTTAAATATTTTTAAACCAACTCTAGAAACGAGTAAAATCTGACAAAATTAATTAGCTTTAAAAATTCCTAATTAAAACTAAACTTAAAGTTAATTCGTCGCTATACCAAAGGGCGACTTCATTCATTCAAAAATTCATATCTCTGTTCATATTTTATCTAAAAATCTAAAATTTTGTATTTTTATTCTTTAACATGTTATCTAATAAATCTCAAAATTTCATCTTTATTGTATTTAAATAACCAAAGTTATTGTGGATAGACTACGACTGGTTGTTGCTTGCGAAAAAAGTGAAAATTAATAGGCGGCTCTTTTTCTTTGATCAGAAAATTAAAAAAAATATTTTTTAAATTATTGAATATCATTTATTCACAAAAATTCTCTAATTTTTTAAAATATTAAAAAACGAGAAAAAATATTCCCTTATTCCTCATAATTAAAAGGCCAAAAGCGCTTCTTTCATTAACCAAAAAAGAGATAAAATAATTAGCTATAATTTTGTCCATTTATTTTTTTCTCTCTTTTATTTTCAAAATAAAATATTTTTTCTAAACGGGATTTCATTTAAAAAATTCCACACCTGTTGCTACTTCTAAAAAATATTATTATTCGAATCTCATTTACGAATTACGTCCTGAAAAGATCTTGATCGAAGACGAGAGGTATCTAAAAAGGAGAGGATGAAGGTAGAGTTGGCCTGTATCGATATTTTAACAGAAAATCGGGATTGGGATATTGGATTAATCATTCCGCCCTATCGATACCGACCCCGCCCAACTGTAGTTGAAGGTCTCTAAACCCCAAGTTCGAAGGTAAAATCGAAATTCGAAATATATAACAGAGATGTGCTGTTTCGCCTTTCTCTCACTCTCTCTCTCATTTTCGAATGTTAAATGAGAGAGAACGAGGGAAACCGCTTTTTAAATAGATTTTAATATTAATTAAAAAAAAATTTTTTTTATTTATTTTCAATCCTTTCTTTCTTTTTGGCATACAAAATAAGCTTTCCCTCAAAAATTCTCATTCTTTCAAACGTTCTCAATCTTGGCCTTGAACATGCTAAGAAAAAAAGCACCGCGACCTCACACAAGGCGAGAACACAAATTTGAGTGGTTACAATTGTTTGAGTCCCTCTATACCCTCCTTTGTCATCCATCTTTTGTCATCCCCGCCCATCTGGCGCTTTTTTGGATTTTTTGATGTTTTTGGAGGTCATTTGTCTTTTTGGGAAATTTATTTAATATTAGAGGCTTCGTTAGGTTTAGGGCAGTTCTGTTGGGGTCTAAGGAAGTTCTGAGCATATTTTCAGGAGCTAGCTCCGGATGGGAGAGAGATGGAGACGTTAGGCTCTTTGCCGGAGCCTGAGTTAAGAGTTTGAAGTCGCCCCCAAGAAGTTGAAATGCCTAGAGAGAGTCTTGAATTTGGAAATTACCTCCTTAGATTCTTTTCTATGCTGGAAGTTCCAAGACCCAATTTTTAACGAAATCTTTCCATTTTCCCTTAAGAAGATATTTTATCCCAAAAATCCCTCTCTCTTAAAATAAATATTTCCCTACCTCAAATAAATCCTTCCTTTTATTTACTTGCCAACCCAAACACAATAAAAATGTTTTCTATTAAATATGTATGTTCAAAATATTTGTTAAGGTCACAAAACCATCAATCCTTTTCTTCAGATTTTGGCCTTTTTAAAAGGATTTTGTGTGAAAATGTTTGCCAATTGCGCGGAGAAGGAGGGGGATTATTGGGCTCCCTGTTCATATTTAATATTTATACATTTTTAATGTATTAATGGTCATTCATCAAAAAAAATTTTCTTTAATGTATACACTTTTAGAGGCCAAAAATGAATTTAATTTGAAATAAGGTTGAATATAGCTATAAGATTAAATATCCTTCTAGGGCTAGGGAGAATTATATATCTTATAGGGACATATTTTCGAATTGGGGTTATTTAGGCAGCCTCCCTGTACTGTCATGAGTAGTACCTCCTTGTCAGCCTAATTTTTAAAAATCCAAAAAAATCACAAAAAATCAATTTCCATTTATTCTTCTTTCTGACACTTTGAATATTTATTTTGTTGTTTTTGCGGATGTACTTAAGCCCATCTGTCAGCTATATTTAAATAGATACTTCTCTCTACTATCTGTCAACTCTAGGGCAATTCAACTTCTCTCACCCAACCCATTTATTTTCTTTTTCTTACACTTCATTTTTTCTCTTCTCCTTCATCATATTCCTTCCTTATCTTCCTCCTACTCTTCTTCATTATTTCTCTTTTCATCCTCTTCATCTTCATCTCCATCTCCCTCTTTCCCTTCCTCTTCATTCATCTTCCTTTTCGTTTCTTTCTTCTCCTCTTCCTCATTTCTTCCTCTTCTTCATCTTTTAACATTCCAAAAATTTACATCTTAGCATTTTTAGAATTTTTGACTTTATGAAAAGTACATATATCGACACTTTGTTAGAAAATAAATCGTTTTCTTCCCCCTCCCTCATTCTTCCACCCTCCTTCATTCTTCCCTCCTCTTCCCTCCTCCCTCATAATACAAGTTGCGACTGAAACCCGTTATCTTGCGCGAAATCTTCTCATTTTCCTCTCCTCTTTCCTCTCTCATTCTTCACCCAAAAATTTCCCTCCCCCCTAAAGTGCTTTCCTCAATGAGAATAGCTCCTCATTCAAATATATTCACAACTCGATAAACGAAGATTTTTTGCCTTTTATTCTTTTCTTCAATTAAGAGAGAATTATTTAAGAGCAATAAATGGTTCCGTGACCACTTGACCAGTCAGTACTTTTATGTTAGAAATTGATATTTTTTTAAGAGTAGAGTGAAATTTTGAGATAAGTGAAAGTAAATTAAAAATATTGGACATTTTGGTCCCTGGATTTTTTTTATTTTTGGTATCAATTGTCATCTTTAATGAAAATTAATTTTTGGGGTAAATTTACCTTTTTTCTTAAAATTTTTAGAAATTCGGAAGTATGGACATTTTGGTCCCTAAATTAGAAAAAAATTTTTGGCACCAATTGTCACCTTTAGGAAATTCTATTTTTGGGATAAATTCACCTTTTTTCCTCAAAAATTTTTAAATGAAAAAATTTTTTATTTCTTCTAATTTTATTACCCATTTTTTTCTTTATCAGAACCGGACATTTATCTTTTTTAACCAATTTATTATTTATCCCTTTTTTGCTCCTAAAACTTTTATATCCCCAAAAATGATTTAAACAAGCCATGCGTAAAATATTATAACCGTCTTTTTACCCAATTTTCAACTA